CAGCTGCATATCGTCATTAAAGAAATTATCATTAATTTATCAGAAAATTAGTTATTAAAGTCCATTGGATAATAAAGTTAGTTGGAATGATACTTTTATATAAAAATAAAATTTATATATAACATATACATATATAACAGAAAATATTATAAGTTATTAAAATATTGAATTAAAAATCTTTTCGCGCGATTTTTGTTTGGTTATATAAAATTTATACCAGAAAAATAATTTAAAAAATTAAACTACTTTCATACCACTTATATTACTTTCATCAATAGAAGTACAAATTGATAAATCGCTATGCATCATTCACAGATTTTACTTTTTGTACAACATACTTCTCTAATTATATTAAATGCTTTTATAAATCCAATTCTCTATTTATTTACTATGCTATCAAAAAAATCGATTGTTTATTCTTTTGTTTTATAAAAAAATTTCGATATATATCTTAGAACATTATTCTTAGAATAACTACTTCTTGTATAAGACTTCTTTTTAAGTATTTAACAATGATGTAATAATAATTTATAAAGAAATAAATAATAAAAATCAAGAATATTTATACTACAACAGAATTGATCTCAAATTAGTTACTATGGATAAAAAACATGCAGAAAATTTAGAAAACCTTATATATATGTTATTATATTATTAGAAATTACATTCCTTAAGTTTCATTAAACGCGAGATATTTCATTTTTATTATAAATTATATTTAAATATTACAAGAGTAGGAAGCTATGTCAATGATACTGACCATGATCATCAAAGTGCTTTTCATAATCAGCCTCGCTCCATTGAGTTTCATGAGTGGTGGTTGCATCGTGTGGTAAAGGGCGCGGTAATGCACTTGTCGAGCGTACTATTAACGAAGAACAACGTAACGACAATTCAAGTGCGTCCAACCAACATTTGCCTGCTGCTTGAGATGGTGCTCGAAAGATTAAGTAAGATGTTGGTAAAGGTTGTACTACAGCACCTGAAAAATATAAATTAATTTGTTTGTAATTGTAAAATTGTGCGAGTACATATACATATTATATTGCATATGTGTGTGTGTGTGTGTGTGTGTGTGTGTGTGTGTGTGTGTGTGTGTATAATCCCATCATTACAGAAAAGAACATAAGAACTTTCACAGAATATTGTCATTTCGGTTATTACTTATATAAGTTTAAGAAAATCACAGAATTTAAGATAAGACTGATAGATAAGAACCAAGCCCAGTTATACATATTATATCATTATTATATCTAAAGATTAGATTATAGGTGTTATCTATTAATATATTGCAAAAAAAATTGCTGCACAAAAGCAGTATATGTACAATGTATATAATGATAGAGATATATACCAATAGCTTCTTTTTCTGGTCCTCGAGGAGCCCATATAGATTGCTCCAACGGATGAAATAATTTAAAACAAAATCCATCCTTTTTACTCGGACGTTCAATAACTTGACACGTATTAAGTAGTACCGTTCCAACCCAATGATTACTCTGTAATAAATATTGCAGATACAATAAGAAAGGTTAAAAAAAATAGTTAAAAAGAAAAGAGAAATGCAAATACAAACCTTCGTTTTTGGACTTTTGTACAGCAACAATAATCCAGGTTTCAGAATACACCATAACTTGGTCCAACTTTTCAATGTGCCACGAACTTTTAACCAATCACTCATAACAATAACGGTTGGATCTTTGAAAGAACTTAAAAGTTCATCGGCTACTCTTTTCTTTTCCATTCGATAATTCTTTCTTTGAGCCTTATATGATTCTTTTCGCGTTAATTTGCAAGAATCTAACGACTAAAAATATTATAAAAATATTCATTAAAAATACAAGTTCAAATTAAAGTAAATTATATCTTATCGTATTTCAATAAAAATAAAGAAAAAATAGAGTTGTAGAAATAAATAAAAGAATAAATTATTTTTATTGATTACACGATTTAAAAAAATATTGCTGAATAAAAGTTACGCATCAAATCTGTAATTTTTTACCAATAAAACTTGCAGTCAATTTTTGCAAAAATTTGTTTCTGAGAGACTTCTTTCTAGCTTTAATAAACAAAGAAATTATATCTCAAGAATACAGAATTATTTACCTTGTCTGATGAATTATCCATTTTTTGACTACCTTCGCCCATACCAGAGATCCCTATAACATACATAATTTTGAATTATTTTTTTATAATTATACTTTGTACAGTCGGAATTAGGCGAATTAGAACGTGCCGAAATAGAATGTGTACGTAGAGTATATTCTCAAAAAATTTTTAATTTTAATAGATTAAATAAAATTTATAATATATTATTTTTAATATATCGTACACAGTATATATTATATAAATATTTTAATACAGTGCATACATTACAATAGGTACTTTAGTTCATAAATAATTTGATCTGGATATTTAAAAATAAGATTATATTATATTAATTTTTATACATGATATATTTGGTATATTATTTGCATAATTATTTTATTAATAAACTTATAATTTACAGATATATATTTTAACAAATAAACAAGCCTATAATTTTTATTATAAAATCAAACTTAATAATTTAAAAATAAAAGATAAGACAAAACCAAGTGTGGCATTTTTAGATAAAAATAATGCATACTTACTGATTATTAAAATAATTAAAGGAATCACACTCTTTATAATAAAACAATGCAAATATGTACAAATATATTCCATATTTGTTTTATATACATGCATGGAATTCTATATATTCCTCTAACTCTAGTTAAAATGGAATCTAATATAAAGTTACACAGATATTATTTTTTCTACACCATACAACAAATCAAGACAATCTATTTAATTTAAAAATTTCAATTCATATTTAATTTATTTAACATTAATTTTTATTAACAAACAGTTTAAATAATCAATATTCTATAGTTCTATTTCATATGCTTCATATTTGAAGCGAATAAAATTTACAAAACATGTGTTTTACAAAAAAGAAAGATAAAGTAATAATATTCAACAATATGTAATAAGGTAGGGCGGGGCTATTCTGTCAATTTCAAGTTTAAATATAAATACAAAAATTCGGCAAATAATATCTCTTTGCAGTGCTTATAATTACATTATACATCATAATTGCTCCTTGAAAGCACATAAGCACAATTTTTAAATAATCCACAAGTTCTGTTCAGCAATATAAATAATTATCGTGAGAAATGGATGAAAAAACCCTGCTCTACCCTAATAAAATGTATTATCTTGATTTTTTACGAGTTTATTATATAAATAAATTATATTTATACAATATTAAGTTATTTATTCTTACTATTTAAACAGAAAGTATTTATTTACTGATTCGATATATATACATTTATGATTTTTAAATCATATACAGTACAAAAATCAATTTTTGAAAAATTATTATTATATTAAATCGTATCCATTATGCTAAAATATATGCATAACAACATATAGAATGTTTTGCAAGATTTGCATTAAATCTTGCAAATACGTTTTAATAATAATTTTTTTATTTTAAATTAAATTAAATTAAATTTTTATTTTTAGAATGTGCATTTTAGATTATGCAATCTAGTTACAGATTTAAATATAATTATTAAAATATAAAAAATTTGATGTATCAATTCTCAAATCTGCAAGACAATTTGATATTATGTAACAAAAAACATGCTTAAAAAACATATTCAATATTTTTCAAAGAGATATTTAATATTAAAAATTAAATTTTAAGACACATGCAATATGCTAGATTTCTACTAAAAAATAAGTATCATCTACCAAAAAAGACAATTAAATTTTACGCAAATTTTATAAAACAGTTTAATAAAATGCGACGTAACATTTGTATTATCGAGTTGTTACTCTGAGTTATATAATCAGGTCAATGTATATGTATGTCCTTTTTTTGTATTACTATATTAATTACATAAACATTTTTTGTGTATCTGAAGCTTACCTTACAAGCATCATGTAAAGTGCAGACAATAAGCATTAAATGACATTACTATATAGTTTACACTTCGTAACAAAAATTGTATTAAAACGAAACGCAAACACAAACGTTAAGGAAGAGCTATATAAGCCATACATAATTTCAGAATTTTTCTAGCATATATGCATCCATTATATTGCAAAAATAAAAGCCTATAATATTAATCAAGTTTGGAAAGCTGCTTGTAACTGTTCAGAGTTATCCCAAACTATAGCAATGATGTATTACTTTCGAAAATATTTCTTGATTTATACCTGGAGAAACTGGAGGTGCACCGGCTGTAATATTTGTGCTTGTTGCAAGGGACTCAGTTGATGGAAGTTTAGGTAATGGTGTAGACTGTGCTTGGACGCTGCTTCTTCGAAGTTGTCGATCCGCTGGTTCTACATATTTAGCACTCGTTCAATTGCACTCAATATTTATTATCACATCTTACGTCACATTAAAATCGTTTCTCGAAGAGCTATTCAATGATTAGTCAACAGTATAGACAGCCAGAATTTATATTTTCTACATTACAAATAAGTAATATTAACAATAACATTATTACACATGTAATAATAAAAATAATGTCCTATTATTATCCTGTATGTGATGGCGAGATGACAGTTGCAAAAACACGCGATTAATTTGCAGTTAAATGAGAGATATTGCATGTTTGTCTACCTTGTTGCATATATGTATACAAAAGAAGAAAAAAGATATGCATGCTTAATTTATATTATACATGCGCAATTGAGAATGTGCTTCATATTGCTCCATGCAGTCAAGCAAACATTCCGAATATTTACAAAAAAAAGAACTAAACATTATTCTCAAAGTAACATAATCAATAATACATAATTCAATAAATGTTTCAAGAAATATTAGTGTACGTAAATTATTATTAATAAAGTTTAAACATATTTGCAGATCTTGTATAAACATAATTTCCACACTACGTTTTTTTTTCTATTGTTTTATATCTGTGTATCTATTTTGTATACGGAGTAACAAAACGGTAATGTTTAATAAAGAGACTCATTGTGTGAAAAATGTTATCTAGAACACCAACTGAACCTTTGCATTTCATCCAGAGGCTTATAGTAGTCAATGTAAAGTCACACATTGTCCTGATTGTATTGTATATGACAGGATAAAACCAGTATAGAAAAGTGGGTAAAGAAAAAGTTATTATTCACAACTAACTACAGTGCTTATAACAGAGTAGGGATTCCTACTACAATATAAGAAATGATTTGTTACACTCTCAAGTATTGATTTCCATTTTTCCGGATGTGCTACAGTATGTATTTCATTCATATTAATAAGGTACTATAAGTGTACATCTGATATATCATTGTCAGGATTACTAAGCATTTCATATGAAATCTGTTGCAAAAGAGAGATATGCAAACAATATATAAATATTATTTTAATAAAATTATATTATACTAAATGTATGTCACATGTGTTAAACAGATATTGAAAGTATATATATATATATATATATATTAAATGTATATTACTTTCATTTTTCCTCCTGAAAGACATTGTTGAATGTCTAAAATACTTTAGGAAAATGTGATTATTAAGATTAAAAAAAAAAGTAAATGCATTTTAAAGAAAATTATACATTTATAAATATTGAACTGTAATACATAAAAATAAATACTCTGACCTGTGTATATAAAGGTAGACATTATGTAAACATTAGAAATTGTATATAATTTGTGAGTGTTACATAAATCTATTGAATCTGAGATTACTAATAACAGGAAAGAGTTTTGCAAAAACATGCCGTAATTACATCTATCTGTTCTTAATTGATATAGTTCAGATGTCAATGACAAAGTTCTTACAATAAAATAATATCATAAAGTTCATCAATTTTTTGAGAAAATACATAATCTTTGTGTATATTTATATGTACATACATGTGTACAATTATGAGGTTCTTTTAATTTTTACGCTTCCCTATTTCATATTTTTAATATGAAATGATTTGTACAATTTCATATTTTTGTAAGTGTACTCAACACAGCTGTTCTTAGTTTCACAATTTTCTTATGAGCTAATTATCAATAAAATCGTTACAATTAAATAACGAGTAAGACACATAAATAATCATTACAGTGTCTTATAACAAATTGTTTACATCTTGGCATCATTGCATATTTGACATGTTCTTACTAAAATGTGAAAACACAATACGTAATACAATAACAAAACATAAATAAAGTAATAACACTTACGACTTAGGGATCTGCTGACGTTTGGCGGTGTCATGGTCTTGTAGGTGTCCGCTGAACTTCCAACAGATATAGAATGAGTCTCCGGCTGAAGACGATGCTCTCCACCAGGCACCACAATCGGTTGCGAGCTCATTGCAAAATTTAGGATCGACGATTCGTATGTCGTCAATTTTAACCTGACATAAAGACACACGCTACATCCTTCCACGTCAAAGCTGACGAGCGTAGTCCATCATAGTTCATCTAACTAGACATGGCTAGACAGTTTACCGCCGTGGAAATGCTTGACACACGTCGGAAACTCAGAAATGCTGCGCGCACGAGACAGGCGCAGCAGTGCGTGTTTACGTTCGTCGTATTCACTGGTACGCGAAACGTGCGTCGCTACGACGTTTTTCAACGATCGGCGATCTGACGGCAGACGTGTCAATTCATCGTGGCAACGAATTAACGCGGTAATTAGCGCGCGACGGAGAAACGTGAATTACACACATCGCGCGCGAACTAACCGGCGGCGCACGAGAGCCTTCGGCCTTCAAGCGGTTAAGGCTGCACGTCGTCGCCGATTGTTCCTCTCGGCCGATCACTTCCGTCCGACGCTGCGGATCGCCGCGCGCAACGAAGCCGGACGGGGCACGGTGTCGCGTACGGACGGCCGCGATCGCATACCATCGATCTACCCCGTACGGTCCACTCGTTCTCACGGTTCACGTTTCCCGAAGCGCGTGCGAGAGAGAGGGAGAGAGCGAGAGAACGAGACAGAATGGAGAAAGAGAGTGCGCGCGCGCGCGCGCACGTGTACCAATCCCGATCGCGTCGCGACTGCAACTGACTGCACACACACGCAACGTCTGCAACTTGCTGCAACTTGCTGCAACTGCCTGTGCCCGCAACGATCGCGGCAACGTGACGCGACTGACGCGAGCTAAGCTTGATGCTGGTAGGACGAATAAGAAGCTGGGGAGGAAGGCAGGAAGCCTCGACTCTTGCTCATTGCATTTAACCGACGGTGTCGCTGCGCATCGACGAAGAGACACTTTATACCTCGTCGTGTGACGCACGACGAGATTCAACGTGATCCTACTGTTGTACTATGTTATATCGCCCCGACGGCGATGACTTTTTTTTTTAAGTTCACGTTTCTCCGTGGATGAATCTCCGCTCCTCGTTCGGTTTAACGGACGGTCGAGCGATTCGCTGGAATGTCCGGCGTTTTTTTCTTTTTTTTTTTCTAAGACGCAGCCGGCCGTGACCGATGACGTTTCGCGTATATATATATATGTAGGTCCGATTGAGTGGTTCTCGTTATCGCGTTTCGCATTCTCTGCCGGTTGACCTCTTTCTCTCTGTCTTTTTTTTTCCCTACTTTGAGAGGACCGATCGATCGTTGATACGTGTGAATTTTTAATAATCACGGCCGCCACGCCCCACCCACGCGATCGTTCTAATATTAATTGACATATCCCATCTTAATGCCCGTTTCTCCGCCTCCGCCGCTGTACGTTACATAGCGGCGTATCGTAATCTGAAAGAGATGCTAATTCTAGATTGATTAAAACCGGCGACCGGCGCAGCGGTCCGCAAACTAACGCATCGCTAACCTCGACGTTCTATAATGGAATATTTCTCCGATCTAACAAGGTTCGATTTTTCTAATTTACTGAAAAAAATTTACACGCGTATAATTACGAGCATACTACAAGTACTCTTATCTGGCTCCGAATTAAACGAATTAATTTCAGGCCTTCCCTCTCACCGTTTGTTATGCGCAGAATCGTGATACAACGAAAAAGAGAAAATGGAGAGAGGGGGGGGGGAGGCAGTAAGTCGATAACTCGGCGTCATTCAATCTTGAACTTTATCGATACGATCTACAAATTACAATTGCAAGTCTACATAAATACATGAATTAAATAATCTGCGCACTTCGCTTTTTGCGATGTCGATCAATAAAGCTCGGTGGAGAAACGACAGCATTTCTTCGCATCGACTTTATTAATATATATATATTTCTTCTACGTACTTTTATTTTCTTTAATTCTAGAACCTTTACAAGCATTATAAAACTACGTTAGCGTAGGAATCGCTGATCGAAGATTCTTTGTATTAATTTCTTGAGGTATTTAAAAAAAATGCTAATTTTCTTACAATAAATGTATTTAAATATAATATTGAATTATTTATTTTATTTGTAGAGATATATACCTTGTTAAAATAAATCAATTGTAAAATGTAAAATATATTTACAAAAATTGTTTGAGGAATATATTTTAAATTTCATACGTTTAATAAATGTATACTTCACTTCAATGGATTTAGCAGTATTTTAATGGTAAATTCAATCACACACTGGCACTACATTATTAAAGACTGCTTTATACATATATATATTGTAGATATGAAGTATCTAAATGTAGTGGTATAATATAATTAAATTTGACAATGAAATAACCATGTATAGTTTGTTAAATAGTAAGACAACACTGTTAAGTAGTTAATTGTTTAAAATATTTATAAACTTTCACATTTAATTAACTTTCTATAATTTCTACTATATAGCTACTTTTAGTATTTTAGTACTAATCTTATAACATAGAGTAATATCTAGTTTATGCTTCGGTCTTAATCTTAGTCTTAAAAGTTGACAACAAAGAATGCCATAAGATCGTTTATGCTTTCTCAATCTTAAACAGTCTTAATCTTAGTCTTAAAAAAGTTTTAAGTCTTTCAACTTTAGTCCTTAAAATTAAGTTAAGGATTAATTCTAAGATTAAGACCGAAGCATAAACCAGAGCATAAATGATCAAATTTACTCTACAAATTTTTTGTAAATGTACAGAAGATTGCATTATTTCAATTATAAATTTTATTGCAAGAGTTCCAATATGTTCAAAAATTAAAATAAAAATAAAAGTGTTTTAAAATATTTAAAAATAGAAATATTTCGAATAAGATAATTATATCTGTAAAGAATCGTGTTTTTATCTAAAATAATTATAGAATGCTTCAAACTTTTAAACGGTAGTGTATGCTACAAATTTTTAAAACTGAATGTTGCTGTAATTAGATCTTACATTAATTCATTTTCACCAGCAATTCCACAACAATTTTATTTTAGTTCAATTAATTCTTCATCTTTTTCTAGTTCTAAAAATTAGAAAAGATGAAGAGTAAGATGAACTGAGATTAAATTTAATCTATAATGATGAAAAGGGGCATTAATCACTTAATTACTTATAGTCACAGATAATCTCAAGATTACCAACCAGTCACTGGAGTGATCGTACAATGTTTCAGAGTAAGATAGTACTTAAGATAGTCTTGAATATAAGAGGCTTGTTCTTTATTGCTGTACTTGTCATTAGACTGTATTAAAACTTTTATCTGGCTTTCACCAAACTTCAAATATATAGATATTTATTTCAATTTACAACAATGCATTGATTTAGCCACAAAGATAATAGACCTTAAATATCTGTAACTACGAACATCAGTTTAAATACGTTTATCTTTCTAAAATTAAAGTACATTTGACTATGTAAAGTATAAGTAAAGTATACAGTGATTGAATTTGCTATGAATTTGTCTACGTATTAAAATCCAAGTCAAATTAACAATTAATTCCACAACATATTTATAATTGATCTTTATTAACTTCATATATGAATAAAAGATTCAATTTAGTCCGTTTTTTACTTTCCGTAAATTGAACTCGCAAGAAAAAGTACATAATTAAGAAATACTTAACAGTTCAATTAAGCATACGTATTCAAATAGATAAATTATATTTTTATGAAACAATTAATGATATAACTTCTGTTCATCATATATCATTAATACAAGATTATGAATATCTCCTACATATTTATTTTTTTAATTCATGCAATAATTACGAAAATGAAAAGGTGGTCAATAACTGTAATTGAGAAAATTCATTTTTTACAGTTATTGACCATTCAGTGTAATTTACATAATATTTACTACATAATTATTCCTTATGAATAAAATTACTATTTTGAAATGTTATAATATTGTAGATTTAATTTTTCATCAAAATGCTTAAAGTAACTTGTATGAAATATACTCGAGAGGCACTTAAAGATGCCGTAAACGGTTGAATGAAGTGGCACGAATCTAAATAGCGTACCTAAATCAACTTAAATTTAGAAAAGATAAACCACTGAATATCAAAATAACAATAAGTCCCTGTCCTATACTTGGAATTTCATTGCATTTATCTCCTTTTTATTTTCTGAATTTTTTTTTCATTTTGATGATTTTCATACTAATAGTCAATCACTGTTATTTTTTTGTTCAATTACTGTAAAACTTGTGGTCAATAACTATTATTTTCTGAATAAAAATTTCTACTATTGGAAAAAATGAAAAACATGGTCTTATTCAAAATTTTTTGTATTTGACATATTCTTTGAACCTTATTTAATGTTCGCTTTGCATTAACTTCCAATTTCAAATAATTTCAATAATGATCATAATGATTATATTAAATTTCAGCACTTAAGTGGTCAATCACTGTATACTTTATTCTATCTAAAAAAAAAAGAATTTTTGAGTTCTTTTTCCCTAATTTTATTTTGAATGTGCTTGCTATACCATACGTTTGTGTTTGAGTTTCCTCGAACAATCAACGTATATCTATTTCATGTCGGATGCAAGAAAGAAAAATAAACTGATATCAAATGACTGATTTGGGATCCAATTTAGTAACATTTCGCATATTATATTACGGCTGACAATGCCTGATGCGCGATACATTGTATGTACATCGAATATATTGCTTATTCATAGCTTAATTAGATGTTTTATGTAAGCGCCGGTGTCATTGCGATTTACGTGCGTTCTTTACTCCACATTCTCATTACATATGCACAGCTTCTTGTCCAATTGCGGCGCGTCATTGCGCTGTGATTGGCCACACAATTGCAACCATAATATAATGAGACGAGATATTTGTTCCTTGCGTTTGAACTTTTGTATTATTCATTTTTTTTGTGCATACTATTTAGTTTTCATTTTTTTCTTTTAATTTAATTCCTCCTAAATATAATTTAAAATTATACATCTATTTTTTATTTGAGATAAAACATATATATATTGGTGCAGCTGCAAAGAATAGATGTAAGATGTAACATTTTTGTGGATACACACTCGTTTTTATGACAATGGTCACGATTAAAGATCTGCCCGAAATTAAAAAAAAACTGCTGACTGATTATTTGCATAATTTTATTACTAATTAAAAAG